ACCGCCACCGCCGCAACCTTTCCCAAAGACGAAGAAGTGAAATGATATTTTAATGAAATCGCATCACTTACTTTGGGGACCAGACATTAATTGGCTCAGAGTGGCCGTGGTCCTGGCGTGGCTACAGGCAGCACGGGGATTCGGAAGGAGAACAAAATTCAGAGTGAAAGTTGAGATGAAGTATCGCGAGAAATGATGGATTTTTGATCACTTTTTCCAATATACGTGCTCCTTACTTTCTCTCGGCCGAGACCACCTGGAAGGTTACGTAAGGTAGTTTGTAGGGTTGGTTGGTAAACGTTAATATGAATCCGATGGTATATATTTGTTGGTCCGATCGGTTGGAGAGCGAAGCGAAACCAGTGGCCGCACAAGCTGTGGGGACATTAACGTTGTAGGATAGGGGAGGGAGGATTTTATATACATAGGGAGATAATGGGGATATCGAATAACCGTGGGGACATTGTTCCTCTGTCTCCCCACGGTTCCGCGGCCACTGCTGAAAATGATAAAATAAAGTAGCCTTTGATTTTACTGATTGTGAGTCTTAATCCTTTTTTAACATGATTTTACCTCTTTGTCCAATTTTTTTCATGATTTTAACCAATTCCTGGTCATTTAAAGTCTTTTTTCTCATCTTGTAGTAGATAACAGAGGAGAAATATGATGTGGAATGGTCCCATATGTACGAAACCAGGATGTCACTTGTTATTTTCCTCTCATCGCATCTCTCTAGATAGAGATCGTAACAATGAGGGGCCACCCACGTGCCACGTTTCGCTTGACGAACGACCAATCTGGTCATAAAAGTGAGATTTTTCGAGTTAACAACCACCCTGAAGAATCTGGTAGAGTCACGCATATACTTTGTAATTATATTGAGTTGGCATTAACTTCCTACCCCATTTGTAGTAGTTTGTTTCCGAATGGCAAATTTTTCATTACCAAACGGTAAAGCCTGTTGTTATCAATGTCTGTAGAGTTATCCTATGTACGTACTCCGAGCAGTAATGATTTAATCCCAATTTTCTAAGAGTGTGATGAATGGAAATGTGTTCTTTTTTCGTGCCTCTCTCGGGACGGAATATATCTGCAGTTTTCGTTGGCACAAATTCTGACGGAGATTTCGACTTGACACTTTTCCTCGGTGTGGTTTGGCTTTGGCTATGGCTTTGGTCGAGCCAGTTATTAAATCCTGTCCTGTTTTCAAATTTGTGCAGATGGGACCAACCGAAACCAGACTCCTTAGCAACTTAAATTCCCTACAAATGAAACTCACCACATTAAAAAAATTAGCAAAAAAATCCAACCGAATCTGGAAATTAATTTGATCCAGGGCAACCTGCGACGTTCTAAATGAAGCGTTAATAAGGGGCAGGGTGGACCAGTGAATATTAATCCCGACATGATTTTCTCATCTCAAAAGATTATTATCATCCCGCCGCATACATAATTTCCACTCTGTGTGTAATGGAATCAAAATATTGAGCTTATTAATAAATCCACTCCACTCCACTCCACTTTCTCCGCTGGGGGCCAAATAATAAGACTTTTAAGACTTTCCCACTAATTCTTTGATGGTTGCATCGTCTCGAGGACTACTTTTTAATGAGGGGACCTCCGTGTTAAAAAATTTGCGAAAAAAAAACATGTTGAGATTACACACTCACACGGACTGAGAGAGAAAGAAGGAATAACCCAGGGCGGATTTTTTTTATCTACTTTCACTCCTTCAAGTTTGACTTGGTTTGGACTTTTAGTTTACTTTGCGTGTGTTTTCTTCATCCAATCTTTCAGTGATGGTGGGTCGGTCGGTCGGTCGGTTTGTTGGATTGGTGGGTGAGAGGATCGACCTGAGAGAGCCCCTTTGAGACGGGGGCGAGACGTTAAGAACGTGGGGAAATTGAGACGGGAAATCAACCAGGTGAAAAGTGACACGTTTTAAGGCAGAATAACGTTCTGTAGACGAGATCTCGGCACAATTTTGCGCTTATCTTTGCTAACTTGCGCCACAGTTAAGTTATAACATTGGCGCAAGTTAGCAAGGAGTGCGGAATAAACCCACCTTAAGCTTTTATACAGAAGGTGTACAAATCTGGATGATATTTTTCTGCAGAATTTATACGTAGAAATTGTCTCCTCGTAAAAATGTGGCCATTTTCGGCAGATAGATTTTCGCCCGGGTGAGTAGACCCTTTCCGCGAGTAATGAATGAACGGTCCCCCTTTGGATGGGCGAAGAAGAGGACGCTTTCCCTGTTTTAAGATTGATTGAAGGGAGAGGCAGATATCTTCCGGGGCAATCTTTTCCCTAGTTACGAAGGCAGAGGAAGTGCGAGCGAGCTGGAAGATGCTGTATCCCAAGGCTGCGATGTGATGTGTTTCTTGAGATGAGAGTGAAAATCCCAAGAATCGACAACTTTGAGAGAACATGAGGCGTGTCATACATACGCCGCATAATAATAAAGTAGGCGAAATGGGTGAAAAAGACGCCAAGGTGCCCATCTCATAGGTAGCTTTGGGATGTGATTTTATTCACTTTATCCCGATTTTGAGACAAGAGCGGTCGCAAGTGGACGAAATTTGGGAAAGAGTGACGACGTTTTTCGTCCCGAAGAACATCTCTCGAAGCAACTGACGTCACGTGCAAGATGCGAAACACTGGTTTATTTTGCTCCTCATCTTATCTTGTACAAGGTAGACGAGAGGCTGGATGAGATGATGAGATCAAATCGTTCTCACGCGACAAGATACAACGTAGGTCGTCCGTCCGTAGGAGGAAATGTTGGTGGGTTGGGTTGGGAGATGACGACTAACTCGGAAATTGATTCCTTTAACGACCACTTCCTCCTACAACAGTTTCAATCAATTATGTCCTCCACCACTACGACGCAACTGAGTGAGGGCAACGATATAAATCTTTCCAATGGTTTCCTATCCTCAAAAAACGAATCCAATTCTCCGAGAAACCGCCAGGTAATTAAATCCGCTCGAGGAATTAAATGCCAAGATTATTGGTTCCGGTCGAGGCACAATTGCGATTTGGGTGAAAACTTGATGGGAAAATTGACCAAGGAAAAATTGTCAGGTTTTTGTGCAGAATCGGACGAGATTGTGTAGACAGTTTTTCTGCCTAAATTTTTCTTCAGAGTGTAATTGTACATAAATATGCAGGATAGAAATTTACACGTCTGCAGGCCTTTTAAGCAGAAAAATGGACCAATTTTTGAACATGTTTCTGCAAAATCAGGTTCCATTCTGCAACCAAAACGTGCCAAACTATCGACAATTTTTCTATCTAAACTTTTCCAGAGAATGTAAATAAATTTGCAAAATATGTTCAACGGAATTAATTAGTTTGAAATTTTCTGAAGTATTCGGGACCTCTCTTGGACAGGAAAATGGACCAATTTTTTTCGGCAGGTTGATTCTCGCGTGTCGATACGGACGCCTCGGGTGCCGGTCACACGGCACTATTTCTGCACAGCCCCCCAATAGGAAGAGCGAGGAATAGAATTGATTTCTTGACGACGGAATCCATCCATCCATCCATCCATGGAGCAGGAGGAGCGGAGAGGAGAGAAAGTTTCTTTCTCTGTCTCAAGTGTAGTACAAAAGCATCAGCCATCATTTTGCGAAATGATGGAGTGAGTGGATGAGAGAGAGAAAGAGAGAGAGGATGAGAGAGAGCGAGAGGATGATGATGACGGCCTCCTTGAGACTCGAGTATCGACTAAATGCTGCTTTCTCCCTTTCTCTTTCGCCAGCAGAAGGAGATTTCATTGTCGGAGAGAAATTTGACGGAAGTGAAAGGTAAGAGGAAGAGATGAGTTAAATGGCTCAAGAAGAAATACACAATGAAGAGAAAAGTATGGGAGAGCTTTTTTTAGTCGAATAGGTCATTTGATGACATTTCATCACCGTAAAACCATCCATCCGACCAGGCAGAATTCGCCTTATATAACGACGCCCGGGTTGAAATCACTCCGTCGAATTTTGCAAGAAGCGACAAAAGCTGGAGTGACTTTTTTCATAATCTTGCAGAAAATTTGCATGGATTTTATTCTGCTGAACTGCATGTGCATAATTCTGAATTTCTGGCTCTTTATACAGTTTTTCTGCAGAAAAGTGGGCCAAATTTCTGCAAAAGATTTGAACCAGGGTGGAGAAAGTGAGGTGTTTCATTCTGCCTCCAGGGGACGAAATGGGTGGCATTTTCGCAAAATTTGTCCCATTTGAGAAATGACCCTGTGTCTAAATAAGTGGATAATTTTGCACTAATTTTGCCCCAAAATTATGCAGATTATACATACATATGTGGATCGCGTGTAATTGGAAAAGTTTTCTCTGCGTAGGGTTTGTCAACGTGCTGTTTTAATTTCACGGAGAAGTTATGGTTTGGTTGGTTGGTTGGTGGATGATGATACATAAAGTCGTCGTCGTCGTGTTGCTAGCTTCTGGCGGAGAGGAGGTTTGGGATTTGATCAAATATCAGGCTTGTCACAATCCGCGCAATGTGGTCTCTCTTCGAGTCAGAGAAGAGATGCGTTTTATTCAATTAGGAAAGTTTATGGGAACAGCTCGTCCTCAACCAAAGCCGCCGCATCACAAACACAAGACTTTCACTTAGCAGAGAAAGCGTGCCGAGGACTCAGGAAGCTAAGCAAGTAAGTAAATCGCACGCACAAAATCTACACGGGGGAACATTCATTATTTATGTGCGAGAGATTTTACGTCTCCAATTCCTAAAACAATTGCGGGGCTGATATCGTGAGTGAGTAACAAAATTCGCTAGTTTGTCCCCACGCACGTGACCGCGTCAAATTAAGGGGTTAATTAACTCTGGGTCAATAATGCTCCTTACTTTCACTCACTTGACACAAACACGACATCAAATGACATGACCTACGACCTACAATCGTAGCTTAACGCTACTACATAATTTAACCTTAAGTACGACCTTTGCCGATTTATGAACATAAAAAAACGCATTCCAAGCACTTTTTCTGTTTCAATATTTTACTTTTATTATTGAGATGACATAATATTTTCCGTAAAGAGATCAAACTTTAGATTTCTTTCATCATAAAAACTAGAATTCTCCACCAGCCATACGCACGCCACTGCTACCACCACCTTCTTTTAACACTATGTAACACAAGAACAAGATTACGTAATGATAATGTGTAGATTATTTTTAAATATATTATTTTCCAGCAACAGCGACTCTATTCCTCTGTAACAGAATAATATATGTACTATAGCAAGTAAAAGTCAAGTATTTAGTGTAGCTGACGACCCACCACCCCACACGGCACATGTTACTCACTCTCTGCGCTGAGTCTCGCATTCTAATTATTTATGGTCTGGTCTGGTGATGATCGAGAAGAAGGCATTTTCATTGTGGTGTCTACCGAGAGGGGTCGTGGAGAAGGGATGTGACCTCTCTTTTTCTAGGGTAAAAGGTTAAAAAGTTGCCACCGGAGGGGTTAAAATATGCGTCACATCCCGTGTCCACGGCCCTTTTGCCGTATGAAAATTCACGTGCGGAAAATTTGGCACTTTTCTGCGAAAGAGACGCGAATTGTGCATGAAATTTCTGCATGATTTAATTCCGCAGAAAAATATTCGGTATATTTATTGACCTTCTGCGGAAAAGTTTAGGCAGAAAAATTGCGCAGAATTTTACACGTCTCGTCTGCAGAAAAATTGACTAATTTTCAACCGGTAAATTTTCATACGGGTTTCTTATCTATGTATCAAGTAGTATAAGTACTTATACTACTCAGACAAGTACGTACTTGTCTGATTTTTTAACTTAATTTCCATATTGTATAATCAAATAAGTTTTGTGCAGCTTGTTTACCTCTACCCATTTCTGAATTGCAGGATAATTATGTACTTAACTATTTGAATAATTATATATATATATATATATATATGTCTCACATCAAAAATTTCTATGTGGTTGTCGCCTCTCGTATTCCGTATTAGTGAGAATGGAGAGTCGAACAGAGCAATAAAACGACGGAAATAAAAGTATTTTAAAATCTTGTAGCAGGAAATAAATATTCTGACTGTAATAAGAGAGTAGCTTCCTGTCTTCATTTCGTGTATGTAATACTAATAATATAATTGAAACTGTGGGGTTTGGTTGTGCGAAAATAGTTGAGATTAAAGTTTTAGAATGTGTGGCTATCTATATCTATTTGGTAGTAATACATATCGTGTAATAAAACTTATATCTTTTTCTTCGTGTATAAAATAACTTGTGGTTCTGTATCTGCATCTTCTTCTCTATTTATGGTTGATTGCCCTGTTTTAAGTTTCTGTGTATTGGAAAGCTGATACTTGATCCAGTACGGCACTAAGTTCACAGTTAGGGCCGAGGGGTGGGTGACCACCACCGCCACCACCACCGCCACCGGTCGGAGATGATATTTGCATGAGGGGGGATGAAATTGAGGAGGACGTCGTGTCACCGACGCCACCGTTACCAGTTCCTACACCGGGACCGGAACCACCTACACCACCCAAGGAGACAAGACCTCCGTTAGTTACGGATTCGATGAGGTCGAAAGAATCTTGAGGGTCCCAGGATCCAATACTTCTTGTACTCTGGAAATTAAAAATTGTATATATTTTAGTAATTCAGAGTTTTAAAAAAGGCCCATTTTATGCATCTCCAATGTTCCCACAACTTTAATAATGCTTCCATGTACCTGTAAAGCATACTGCAACAAGCTTCGGTCCGACACTTGAGACCAGTCCCCTTTGCTGATTGCTTGCTCAATTGGGTCCAACTGATTTGAGTGGATCGTGTAATTTCCACCACCGGGAGTACTCATAGTTTGCATAGTTTGGTGCTGCTGCTGCTGCTGAGGCGGAGGTTGACCAGGATACATGGGTGGGGGCTTGTCAATATGCATATATTCGGGAATCTCGTGGGCTTGAGGGGCTGAGAATGATTCGTACAAAACATTCGTCGAAGCGTTCCCAGTTATAAAATTATTAAGGCTTGGTTGCGGAACGACGTGATTTTGGTGGTGTTGTTGCTGCTGTTTTTGATATTGCTGCTGCATGTCGGGCAGCAAGGAGGGAGTAGGAGGATTATTGGGAGCTGCATTGACATTTGGTGTCATACTGTTATTCGCAATCACGTTATTATTGAGGAGATGATTGGAGTGAGGCACGGATGATGAGTTGAGTGGGGTGAGATGAGCTGCTTGAGATGTGGGAGGCGCAGGAGGAGGAGGAACGGTAAGATTGGAGGAAGATGACGAGGACGAAGAGGATGACGGAGTTGACTTATTGGGGCGGTTCCGATGGGCTGCCGCGCTCTTTTCGTCCTCCTCGGCGTACGTTTTCTTCCAGTTTGCGATGTAATTCTTCATCTTTTCCAATATAAAGTCGGGAACTTTAAAGCCTAAAATGTCCTCGTAGTTTATCGTGACGTTCAGTCTGTTGAACAAAAATTAGCCCAAATTAAGTTTTATCAAAATCAGGGCCCTTTAAGAACTAGATTGTCCAAAAACTGAGGCACTTTCTTCTACAATTTTTCTCGAAATTTTCCCAAAATTTCACTTACGTGTTATCCTTGGCCAGCTTTTCAATGTCCTCCAACAACATGATGTACGCTCTTCCGCCTGTAGCCGGCATTAACTTGTTTTTCGACAACCACTCCTTGTCGTCGGAATCAGATGCGTACTTAAACAAACCGGGATGCTTAACGTACAAGCGTCCCCGTGTTTGGGCAAATCCTAAGGCTTTATTTGCCCTAAAAAATAAGTAATACCAATTAAAATTTAAATCTCTGAAAAAAATTTAAATTAATTTAAATTAATCCATACTTTGCTCCCATGATGAACATGGTGTCAATCGTGAGCCTGCTAGAGTCCCACAACACGACGTGTTTCCGAGAAGGACCGGACGGCTTTTTAGGTTTTTGAGGAGACGTGCTATTATCGCTACTGTTATTATTATTGCTCTTTTTATTTCCTCCTCCTCCTCCCCCAGTGGCACTTGAGTTCCCATTGTTGACTTTGCTAGACGACGACTTTTTCACCTTTTTGCTAGCATTGGACATACAACTCGCTTCCGAGTCGGTATCTGACTCTCGCTTAATTCCAAAGGACGACGGGCTCTGCGAAAGTACATAAAGAAAAAGGTTGTTCAAACTTGCAATAAAAATCGTATATGTGAATCATGTGAATTAACCCTAATTTTAATTCAATTCTTGGGATATTGACATTCAATTAAATAACTTAAAAATTTAATTTATTTCCACTCACCGTTAATGGCAGCTTGGTATCCGGGACGTTTGGTAATTGCTGGTTAATTTGGTTATTAATCATGACCTGTTGTTGGAGGAGGGGTTGTTGTTGTTGAGGTACGATGGGGGCACTGAAGAGCTTCTGGTCCGCATTGTCGTGATGATGATGGTGATGATGATGGTTGAGAGTTGGCATTGAAGTTTCCACCAAAATCTTCCCACTCCCCAACGCCATCGGATTGAGGGGATACATGTGCTTCGCCTCATCCAATATTTGGCGACACATGTTGGAAATATGGTCATCCGTAACCGAGTCGGGGCCCAGATTATTCCGTATGTTTTCAATCCCTTGCTTGAAAAATATCTGGAAAACACAAAGTATACGTTAAAATGTGTCAAGTGTACAAATGGTTGGCAAAAAAAAACTGGGACAGTTAACTTACATTTAAATACTTTGTAATAACTTCTTGAATATCGTGGTTAATATTTCGTTGAATATTTTGTCGTAAGAGATCCAATGAATTTGCAGCGTTGGTGTATGTGGACTTGTTCGTATTATTATTAGAGTTGGACGACGACGAAGTGGTTTGAACCGCACTTTTACTCACCGGAGGCTTCATCACGCTCAAGTTATATTGACGCATGTTGAAGGGACTCTGAAATTCAGAAACACAAAAAAACAATTAGAAATACTGGAAATTTAAGTTATTATTTTGTAATTTCTAAATCTACATTTTTTTTACTAATTGTTTTTCTTTTCTGTCCTTACACTCACACTGTGCATGATCATTCATCAAGGACGGTAGATAATTTTGGACTACGAAGTAGTTCTTTCTTCGTTCACGACCATAATTAATTTTGTTTTTTAACTAATTTATTTAACTGAACTAACTATTTTAACTAACAAGAAATAATAAAATATACAATTTTTTTCTTTCTTTTTTTTCTCCCTCAAACAAAAAAGAAACTAATTAATCAATTAATTAATTAAAAATGTAATGCCTTTGGCTGCTTTTCATTTAAATATCTCTTTACTAATTAATTCTCTGACTTTGTAACTTTGGTTTTGTTAATATCTGCAAGTCTCCAGTTTTATTATGCAATATTATATGTACGTGTGATGTGATGAGATAATCTACCTTATCAGTAATTATGCCGTAATAGTGTAAATAAAACTCTATCAAAGTTCAGCCAGGTAAGTTAAGTTTGATACAATTATTAATTCACAATTCTTTGAAATAAAAAGAGAGATCTTTTTTCATAATTTAGAACAAAAATATCGTTTAAATTCGAATAAACTGAGCGAAAATAACATTAATAAGTGTAAATCATAATAATAATCAACTGTTAAGTATTTAAATATGTAATGGTCATTTCATTATTATTATTTTTTTATTATTGTCGTTATATTTCCTCGCCAAATAAAAATAGTGAATAGAGATCAAAACTTTTCGTGTCGACTAACTTTTTTGATTGTGATTTCGTTAAAAAAAATATTAACTAAACTAAACGACGACTAAAAAAATCGTGAATCGTCGTCAACTTGACGAATTTCTTCCCGTCACACCATCGTGTCGTCACCTTTTTGACGTTACAATTAAAAATGTTTGTCCATCTTTATCATCTTTTCTCATGTTCACTCACTCACTACTGATAATTAACTGGCGGTGGGGGACGACGGTTGACCTCCGCCTCACATTTTCTTGTCCGGATGTAGGACTGATCCTCTCCCAGAAGAGTTATCCTCGTCGTCGTCGTCGACACTCTCACTTTTTTTTCCTCAACCCAATCACAAATTCTTTTTTTAGAACTTTTTCTTTTTATTTCTTCCCAAAATTCCAAATCTAGGCACAAGTTCAATAACTACAGCGCGCAGACAGTGTAAATTCTTTCATTAAATTTATCTCCTAACGTGGGCGCAGATAGAGTTCAAAACTATTAAAAATCCGGCAATGCATTCCTCCAACTTGTATATTTGTAAAAATTTTATTGTATTTCATTTACTATATTGCTTGCTGTCATATTATTCTCTTGTTTTTTTATTACTTGACTTCCCCACGTAAATAATAATAAATATGTAAATAAATAAATGGCACAACTAACAAAAAAATTAACTTGTAAGAAGAATTACACCTTTCACCATCGCCACCACCACCACCACCACCACGAAGAACTTGGTTATTACAATTTTGTCACAACTTTCATTCCGCATTCTTCTTCCTACGAATTAATTTACTATGAAGAATATTGAAATAAATTGTTATCACGTCTCTGCCACCACCACCACCACCACCAACAAACTAGCGTGTCTCGTGTCCCCACAAATCGTGGCACATTTAATTATTAATTTCAATTAAAACTGCGAACCAACCACCGGGCAGGGTAAAAAAAAAGAGTACCAGGATAAATACGTTTCTCTCTTTCTCTCTCTCGTTTTTTTATTATTTAAATTTCTGCTTTTAAAATTGTGCTTATCATCATTCCGGGTTGAATAAATTTAATAAATATAAGTATAAAAAAGTGGACTCTGGGATGGCAGGTCGTCGTCGTCGTCGTCCATCCGTGGTATAAAAGAAAGAGTGGACTTTTCACACAATTGGAGGACAACAACAAACCGAAAGAGGGAGAGCACGACGAAAAGGAAGGGAAGCCGAGTTGATGATGATGGGGCTGCTAAAAAAAATAGAGAACCAACCACCACCACCAACGCCATGGGATTCTTAATAACTGCATGGGTCGTATATATAGAAAAGTTTTCCATATTTACTTTACGGGCCGTGCGTAAAGGATGGCGTGGGTTGGGGGGGCTTATCGGAAGGTCAGAGGTCAAGGGGGACGTGGCGAGGGCATTTTTGTGGGAGGGCGAGGAACCAACGACGCCCATTTCGTGCGACCCCCCCCATCACGTCCAGAGCTCTGTTGCTAACGAATATCGCTGAGCTGAGGCCTCTGACTTTTATAATATTATGCAGATTGGTGGTGAGTGTGGTGTTCTTGCTGCTGCACTTCCTCCGTTTTTTTTATGAGGTGGACTTCGGAGTTGGGGGAAAAAATTAGAGTTTTGATGATTTTTTTTATTACACGGGAGGGGAGTTATTTAAAAAAGGAGAAAGGATTTTTTAGACCAGTTTTTTTTAGGAGAACAACAAGTGCGCACTGGTTGGGAAAATGGATGAGGGGGTAAACAAAGTAGGGGATGAAGAAGGGGGTGTGGTTTTTGGAAGATTTTTAGAAACCGTTTTACTGAAAATTTTTGGTGCATAGTGGTTTTTTGGTAAGGATGAGAGAAACCCTTTCTGAGTTTATTAATGGGACTGTGCATATACGACTAAAACTGGTTTTTAATAAGAGTTAAAATAGTGGAATTAAAAAAAAATAAAGTAGGATGATAATTTTGTAGTGAAAAGATTTTTAACACATTTTAAAAAACGAATTTTGTGTAAAATCTGGTACCAATGCAAGACGGGTTTTGAAATTCTGAGCTGTTTTTTTTCATCTTAAAGAAGTGATTTATGATACCAAGCTGTTCAATGTAAATAAAATTAGTTTCACATTTTAAAAAAATGCAATTTATGGTTAGTGAATAACTTCAAGTACTTTAAAATTCTTTTACATTGCCAACAAATAGGCGAGTTTTTCATACTCCATATTTTTTAAACGAGCAAAAAATTACGATTTTTTATGTAATGATTACATCATGAGATTTTAATTGTGATTGATCACAATAATGAATATCTACATTTAAAAAAATTAATGGATTAATTCATATCCTTCCAACGTTGTAGTCCTCTCGCCCATATGCAAACGTAAATAAAAATGATGACTTCAAATGATGAAGCTTTTTCATCCAAACTTATCGTATGGACGACCCGTTATCGCATGGACACAATTCTTGAGATTATTACTACTTATCTGCTCTCTTATCGTCTTATATTTAGAATTGGGTCTCCTCTTTTAAGTCAACATTGATTCGAAAAGCAACATCATGTCCTACAAATTGGGTCAGATTCAACATGATTCGTCACCATCTGAAAGTGAGTATTACTTTTTGGGTGGAACCCCTTTATGCATGCATCGGTCTGTCCGTCCGTTTGACTCTCGAACTTTCGAATGGATCAACTTTTTTTAGTTCTGATTTGTTACTCAGGATAAAGGGCCAGGGCTGATGTAAAGAGAGAGATAGAGGGTGACCTTCTAGGTCAAAGATCAGTTCTATAGGTCATAATAATACTATGAATGACAAAGACAAACGTACAGGTCATGTGGGGAACAAATATATTAAAATTATTGTGTGTCGTGATCGTGACCGTGACCGCGTATATGCTCGCCACTTCATAATTTCCTCAGTTTGTAACTGATTTGCATGAAATTACGGCGCAATTTCTTCCTTTGTGTTGTGGACATGTCACATGTCGCAATAGTGCGCACAGAATTGACAGTATTTCCGGAAAATTTTGTATCATGTCATTATTCCGTGGGTGAGAAAAACCCTACAAACGCGATTGCCGGGACAGACGGAGGACAGGACCTTTTTTAGGGACCTTTTTCCATAAGGCCCATGTTAAAATTTTCGGGATTTTGTCCCCACCCTCCCCGTTTGCCGGGATGAAACCCGAAATCGTACCCACCCATTATTCCGTCATGTGTCGTCCGATTTGCATAAAGTTACGACAAAATCTCTTCTTCTGTGTTGTCGACATGTTATAATGCGGCGCCGATCGTGGTTATGACCGTGCTTTCGGCAAATTTTATAGCCACGTCATAATTTCGTAATTTTTCATCTGATTTGCATGAAATTTCTTCAGTCTCCATATTAGAATCAGTGCACAATGCATGATGCAAACACGGTTATAGCGACGGGCACCATATTGCTGTAATGTCAAATGCAATTTTTAACATTTCACTCAAAATTTTGTTACGTTTGGCTTCACCTCCCTGTTACATTTGTTTTTAACGGTTAACTTTTGTGTGTTTGTTGTAGCAATGCCAACAAACGAGATATTTGAGGCTGCCAAGAAAAACACAACATTGAACCTGGTGCTAGATAAGAAGATGGAACAAAAATTGAAATAAAATTTTTTATTTCAGCTTTTAAAACAAGGAGTGTGACATGCATTTACGATTTTATAGCTTTTATTTTTAAAATTTTTCAAAAAAAATTGTGACGATTTCATGTTATTTTCATTTTACGACTTTTCGTACGTGTCCGGACTTGTTTTTTTTTCTTTAAAGGTTTTTTTATTGATAAATTTATTACTGATCCATGTTATTGATGACACGATAAGCTTTAACGGTATGTTATCTAATCTTAGAAAAAACCAGTTAAAATGATATAGAATAGAACCGAATCTACGAATTGGAAATTTCATTCAAAATTACCCTCGTTTTTGCTCGTTTTTCAAAAAATATAACTACCGATACTCATTTAATACGTACTAATCACCATTCCATAAAAACAATTTATGATAAAAATTATGACAATTTTTCATGAAAAAACTTGCATGAAATTTCATGCAAGTTAACACGTCTCTCATGCCCCGTTCAGCACGCAGACCGCGCTGGTTGACATTTTTCTCTCAAACACAAACTTATTCCGTCTCCATTTCACGTTGGAAATTTTACGTTTTAATTATTGCGGAAGACTAATTAAAATTTTATAGGTTATTTTGACATTATCTTTGACTGGGGGGAGTGGGGACAGGAGAAGTGGAGCCAGCAGACTCCTTGTAAAATTTTCCGTCTAAATAATATAATAGGTCGGAATCTTTCTGAAATAATGATGGGTGAGTGGGTTTGTTAAAAGTATAATTATCTTGGTAATAGGATTCCTATTATAGGAAAATTAATTTTATTAATTATTATTTTTTCTACAGCGACTCCAGAATTCCTAAAACCGTCAAAGACGTTTTATTTGGATCAGATCATGGTCATGTTTAAGGAGCAACTTTACTCCAGCGTCCTCTCATTTGTGAGTCTTTGTATAAATTTCTTCTTTTTTGTTTTAATTATTAATTAATGTCGTAAATTTCTAGGGAAGTGTGGCGTTGAATTTGGGGGAAAGGTATCCGGAAAATGTCAGTGAGACGCAGCAGGTCACAATCCTCATCATGTGCGGTGATTCGGCATACTTTACGCATGACTACGCCCGGGCAGAATCCTATTATCGGAAGGCGCTCCAACTTTACAAGTCGTTGTCGAAAGGGCTGCCAAAGGAGTGCATCCCGGAAGACAGCAATGGTTCGTTGATATTTGTTTTTATCAGGGTGGGAGAATTTGTGAAATTCTTGAAGAGAAATGTTAATTTGCAAATTTTTCTGGGAATTTTATAATGTTTTCGCAAAAGTCTCCTGATGATTGATGACCTGTATTTGTTATATTTATTTGCAGACGTCAAGTACAAGCTGTACCTTTGTTTGATGCAATGTAAAAAGCCAAAGGAAGCGCTCAATATGCTCCAAAGTATCCCAGCCAAGTCGCGCGCGGTCCGAACGAATATGGCGTTAGGCAAGTTGTACATGCAAAATGGAATGGAGCGCGCAGCCATCACGTCTTTCAAGGAAGTACTCAGGGTGAGAATACTGACGTAATTAGTTAATTAATATTTTTAAGGAAATAAAAGTTAACCTTTATCGTAAACTTGCTAGGAATGTCCCAATTCTATGGAAGCTATCGACTCATTAATCTCTCTGGGACTGAGGGATACTGATTTACAAGTATTTTTCAATCACAAGTTGAATAAGATGCCATGTTCGGAGTGGTGAGTTTAACACCATAAATTTTTCAGCATTTCGAAGAAATGTTGGGTTGGGCGGCATTTTCCATAATTTAGCTTAATTTTGTCTCGATGCGAGACTGCAATTTCCAATTTAAACATATGTATCTGCCAATTTCCAGGTTCTACAACTGGATTCGAGCCCTGCACCAATTATTTTTGCGAGATTATCCGAGCGCACTGCAAATCCTGAACACATTGACGGATCACACTCCCCTGCGACACAACCGCTACATGCTTCACACCTTATCCTTAGCGTATACTCTGCAAGGGAATTATGAAGAGGCTGTCGGACCATTGTTGATGGTACTTGATAATAAATGAACTTCACTAATTAATTTTTTGGCATTACTGACTAATTTTGTCTTCCCAGTGCCATCGCCAAGAACCCGCCAACATGCATGGCATGGACCTACTCGCCTTCCTCTTATGGTCGCAGAAGAAACTATTCGAACTCGAAAGGTTGGCGCAACGGTTATCTGAAGTGAACTATAACGAAAATCGACCGGAAACTTGGATCGGTATGGTTTTCTTGATTTGATAACTGTGGTAAATTATTATTAATATTAATCTTTACAAATAAATATAATAGCGCTCGGATACTATGGACTGCTTGTGGGACGGACGCAAAAGGGAGTCAGTTTTGCGCAGAGGGTGCGTTCTGAAAATACAACCAGCTAAAAAATTGCGTGCCATTAAATAGTTTGATATTTTTAGGCGTTAACTTGTACGGGGACGAAGTCATTTGAAGCCCTCGTCTGCAAGGGTTATCTCCTCCTTGAAAATAAGAAAGTGCAAGACGCCGCGGAATGTTTCCGAGATGCCATCCAACTCTGCGGCAACCGTTTTGAGCCACACAACGGTCTTGTGAACTGTTACTTAGAACTCCAGCGGTATCGGGATGCCTCCACGATAGCTAACTTTGCCATGAAAAAATTAGGGCAGACGCCACGCGTGTTGACGGTATGACATAAGAAATTTTAAATGAGCCATAAAAATGGAGCTTTGGATGGAGATACCCATTCTACACACGTTGCATCCTTTAATTATGTCCTAATTACCTCACGAAATTTACACGGTTTTCAAAATTTGGATTAAACTGAACTTGATTTTCATGCTGTACAAATAATGTCAATTTTAATTACTAATTATTATTACAGATGTGTGCCCAACCGTTGAGTAAAGATCCGCTGAATTTCTCCAAAGCAAAATCTTACCTAGACAAAGCGCTTCAATTGGATAAACGCCATTTGCCGGCGGTGCTCACTCTGACCGAAATTTTGGAGGAAGTAAAGCAAAATCATCATTAATTTGAAATTGGTCGAACTAAATTTTAACACAATGTTTTCCTTGACAGGAATGTCACTACGATATCGCGGTTCAGAAACTGCAGGAATATGCGGACGGTGGAACTACCGGGTCGCAAGTTCATCTCAGAATGGCTCACCTTTTGAGCAAAATGAGTTCTGACGACAAGGCTGCTGACCATTTCACAATCGCTTTAAAGTAAGTTGGTCATTACAAATATAAAGGATACCAAAATACTTACTTTTACCTACACTCACTTGCAAATACATCTCTTTCATTCCTTTATCGTCGTTATCCTTAATTATCTAACTTCATCAAAAATTACATGTTTTTTCAATGTTCATATTATTTCTTAATTCGTTTCACACCCTTGTTTTTTAGGCTGGATCCGAGCAATCGCGACGCTCGCGAAGGTCTCAACCGTCTCGACCCTACCGCAAATAGGAACACCGGGGTGAACGAGGCGTCTCAGGTGACCTCATACGATATCGACGTGGACAACTTGGACGTTGATGACGACGACGACGACCATGATGTAATTAATTATTGAATTATGAATTACGAACTAGATATTTTATAAGTGAGAAAAGACTTTATTTTTTCTAGCTCGAGGGCGTCGATAACGAGATGGATCCTGGGATTTGGAATGCTCAGGCAAATTTTTGACGGCGAACTTCTCTAAATTAATTCAGAAAAATAATCAAATATTTATTTAAGTACAAGCTACGTACAATTTCTTTTCGTAAAAAAATGTGTCAAATTTTTTGTATTATTTTTATATTTGAACAAATGCCTAGCTTATTAATGTGTGCTTACTTTAATTGACAAATTTTAAGTTTTGACACATTTACAATTAAACTGCGCTTAAAATTGACTTGACAACTTTCTTTGAGAGATAATTTGAAAAATTAATTGACTTGGTAATGTTTTATTGATATACAATAGTTGCTTAAATTTACTTGATCGAAGTTGAAATTAGTTGACAAAATCTGTGATATATTTAATTTAACAAAGTATTTTATACTGATTCAATGCTGATGCGAATAAATAAATGTGGTGACACTTTTTTACAGTATAAACAAATATAAACAGCAACCATAGTCCTCCCCAAGAAACATGTCGGGAATTTAATTCAAATTCAATTGCATTTGGTAAAATCTTCAGAAATTCAAAATTTAACAGAAATTTCAAATATTATTGGACCCCGACAGACCGAAAGTAGCTACATACATAATAATGAAACCCATCATGCATGGGGAAGATCCAGGTAATACATTTCTCTAAAAAAACCAAATTTCTAATATTTTCTTTTGTATTTCCTTAATCCGAATTATGTTTGGTTTCTTCTTCTTCATTGTCATTGTTAATTTGACGAGACGCAGATTCATGCCGTACATCGCTGTCACTTGAGATGACATGGTCATCAAGTTACCAAACAGTCCTCAGCACCGACCCATTAATGGAGTTGGATTATTTTTTTAGTGTCACAGCTCAAAATAAATAACTGTTCAATTTTAATTCTCGCCACAAAAAGAATGAATTGTTTGCATCTTAATTCCTTGACAGTGACAGTTATTCCATGAAGCATGCATTTTGGATTGGGCCCGTCCACATAATACGCTCGTGGTGGGCGTGTAATGTAATTCAGGGATGGAAACATTGAAAAATTTACCATTTTTGGCCCACGTGCTGAGCTGACGAGAGATTTTTTATAAATTGGACACACGCCGCTTTTTGAAGTGAGCCGTTTGCGGTTTGACCACGACTTTGATTTCACCACCAAAACGACGACACACTTATTCCGAGTTGGTCAAGTTCTTAAACCGCTTTCATACACTTTTTAATTCTCCTGGGAAAAAGCTACTGGCGATATTTTAGGAATAAAATGTTACAAATTTTGCAGAAAAATGCCATAATTCAAATTTTTAAACCGTTTTTAAACACTTTTTAATCTTCTTAGGAAAAAATCTACTGGCGATATTTGAGGGAAAAATATAACGATTTTTGGGTAAAAATGTCACAATTTTTTACAAAAAATGCCAAGTCTACATATCTCTCATCTCATTGTCACCCTTGTAAATACGTCTCAATTTTACTTACACACCTTATAATTGAGTTAATAAATATCCCTCCATAATTAACACATCAACTTATCAAGTAGTCAATTAAAGTGGATTACACACGTACGTACTCCACAACAACGATACCTCAGCAAACAAACAAGACGACAAGAATTGTTCACTAAAGGTCACCACTTACATCCATCCATCCACCTGAGATTACATACGTACAAAGAGGGAGGGAGTGCAGTACTGTAAGTAAACGTATTTATTTACACATAAATAAATAAATACGTGAACCTGAATAAATAGCTAACTAAATAAATAGCTAATTGGCATTTGAACGAGCCTACGGTAATAATGGGCTCCTAAACACAAAGTCGCGTTGACCTAGTCACATCTAAACATGGCTCTAACTCACTCTCACTCTCTTCTTGACGGCCTTTCCGCCTTGGCCAAGCAACAAGACGCCAATTCTTCACATACACACTTTGGACGTCGCGGAATGGATGTCATCTCGGGGTCAGGATCAGAACGGAGCGCACCACGGCGTCCCATCCTGTCCGCACGGCTCTCAAACTTTGAAACTCTTCCCTCAACAGAAAGTAAAGTCATCGCTAGTCAAGTTTATTCGCATAATTCATTATTTATTATGCATGGATTTGGTAACTTTGCTCTTGAAATAGCTCGTCAAGTACTTCTCGTTACTTGCACACGGTACGTTATCCCCCAACGATTGGTTCTCCATCATTGCACTAATTGATCGTATATACATTTTGCCGTGCACGACCCCTCTCTTGCCGCACGTGCTGCATACTTCTTCGCGATTTAGCAATCAATCGCGAATAAATAATTCGAGAAGACAATGCAATTGTGTGTGTCGTCCGGATCAAAGAATTCACAAAGAAAGATGATGCTGTCAGTGGACGCAGAAGGGACAATGTCCCCACAATTATGAGATATCTTCCCATGTTGTATAAGCCCCGCCCTCCCCTATCCTGTAATGTTAAATAACGTCCCCACATGTCCCCACAGCTTCAGCGGCCACTGAATACTGAATGATGGAAGGTTCCTCTCTCGACAAACGGCACGATGCCTGCAACAGAGTGGGATTAAATATTTCTACGAGAATGACAGTCTTCTGTATGAATTCAATTACAATTGTGTTTCCATGACGACAAAGACTTGTAAATAATTAGAAGGAAGGAAGTCGCCTAAGTGAGTGAGTGACATGACACAGCTCGTTGTTTCATGTGGACACGTTATGCTTAATGAGAGCGAGCAGGGATCTGATCAGGGGTTGTGCGAAATGGATGCAAATTGGCGGACTTGGACCTCACACAAGGCCGCGTGGCACGGCATCCCTGCCGCACGACCCTCACTGCTTGGTGGACACAATGGGTGAAGGATAATTTGTGTTGAGATCAAGGCAGCACTTTTGATAGTTCAAGGGGCCAATGGTATTGTTATCTGCGGAGAGATTACTATTACTCCATCGTCGTCACAGATTACATCAAAGATCGCGGAAATCTTTCGTTACTACACGTCGTTCGTCCACCGTTACTTTGATGTGTCATGAATAATTGGGAATTAAACCTGCTCTGGAAAACGATGGTCATTCTGATCATTAATTTTTTTAGCGATGTGAGTGAGTGTACTCTCGCTTTTTGTGATTCGATCTAATCAAGGGACGTCCAAGAGCAAGTGGTAGTCTGACTTCCTGTAAGTGCGTATCTCGTGTTAGGGAAATTTTATCGATTCTCGGTGTTTCGGGTGTAAATGACCACGTGCAAGAAATGACGTGAAGAAAATGGTTTTTTGCAGGTATTTTGACCTGCAAGAAATGCAAGAAACTTCTTCCGGCCGCTAAACTTCCTACTAAGCGTGGCTAATTTCTTGCACTTTCTTGCAGTTTATTACACCTCGCATTTCTTGCACTGTTTCCTTTTCAATCCAAGAAATATAGCAAACTCGCAATGAACGAAACACTGTGATTCTTTGTTATACGCACGGCCCCAAAAATGAACGGTACACTTGTTACACGGCAGATAATTGATCATTATTCTTTGTCTCTGACACACACCTTGTTAGGTATGAATCATTGACAGGTAAACAACGTCGTGAACTTGAATTCCAGTGTGAACATGAAATAAAAAGGGCAGATGGTGCACATGGTGCAAGATCATCTTGATCTTGCACCATGACTTTGAGCCAAATAATAAATAAGTTGTTAAGGTATTCACGGTGAGAATGTGGAGCTGCTGATGCTGCTTAAAAGGAATGAATGAAATGAATGTGCAGATCAGATTTATGCCTAGTTTTTATTAGCTGATTAGGATAAATTCTTCTCAAAATTCTTGTTGCACGGACCTCAGTGAATTAAACAAAGCGAAATCCGCTCCTTATACGATGGAAAGGAAGGAAGTTCCAATTTCAATTGGAATCGTATGTGATGGGAAATGGTGAATAATTAATGTCATAATAATAATGAGATTTTTTGTCAAGGTCGTAATTATTCAGGGGATGAAATTATTTAAGTCCAAATAGGCATCGCATTATTATGAATTGTTTGTGGGAATGAGTGGAATGGAAATTGTATTTGTGAGAAAAATAAGTGGGTATAAAATTAGCAAATACATTTGTAGCAAATTAAATACTTTAAGACATGGATCTCCACTTAATTCGTAAATACAGATAAATTCGCAATGATACCTATTTCCGCGTGAGGTTATGTATTTATTTTGTTGTAAGGTCGTCCAGCAATTAAGTAATTTTTTTTTTACTTAACTGAGGAGCAAGTAATAAGTGTATTTAAATGACAATAGTTAACATCTTCGTGGTGCAAGTGTTTTAAAAAAGTAACTCGTCATGATTTCCAAAGTCTGACAGACAACCAGGTTGGTTTGGTTTGGTTTGGCGTGACACGTCCATTAAATTTCCATCCATCTCAAGCAAGGGCTGTGCGCAAAGGGTGTGGAGGTCATAAATAAACTGACCGTTATTAGATAAGTAAGTTGACCCCGTGAAAAAATAGGGATCATTACGGCGCCTAGTTATTCCTCTCTCTTGATAAGCGGTCATACCTTACTCATTTTTTCCAAAAATTTCGAACAGTTGATTTTTAAACTTGTATAAAATGAAAATATTTTGAAAAGTTGAGGGGATTTCAAGTTTACCGTTTTTTAATTTAATTAAAGCACTGGAAATTCAAGTTATAAGATTTTAATGTGATTTAAATTAAAAAATTTTTGTGGATTAAAAGTATCCTATTCCTTACGACATACGAAGAGGGTGTAGTCCCACGTGGTAATTTCAGCATGCTTACTGAACGGGGTGAATTGTAAGGTAGATAATTTTTCCCCGTTTGAAGATATGTATGCATTTTTATGCGAAAATCAAGGCGTGGAGTTGGCTGGATATAAAGCTGTTTAATGAATTGCAAGTTGCAATTTGCAACTCATACTGGATTCTGAGGTTGTGTGATGTGTATAAATCTGAGCATGTTTTTGATGATGGTCATCAAAGCATACGATTTATTTTTGCTAAAGCGAAAAGAGATAAAATTCCACTTTGTTGTGTTGCATAATAACAGGCAGAGAGTTATCCACGCAGAGGCAGCTTAATGGCCGTACATAAAGGAAAAAAGTGGTAGAAATAAGTTTAAGACTGGGTTTGATGTTTTCTAAATTTATGAGACAAAGTCTTTCATTTCATTGACTATTGGAAGTACAGTGCACCCATCGCTACGTAAATCCCATTCTTATCAGGGTTCCGATGAGAGGTTTTCTGTATGTGGTGTGATCTTTACGGTTTTTTGGCGATTTTCTGGTTTTTAATTTGAAATTTGTTTGGTTTTTGGGGAATACAATTTCTTAATTTTTTTGCAGAATGGAAATTTCCTGGTTTTTGGATGATCTAAATTCTGTGACATACAGCACTGCATGAGGAATATCTATCCCAAAAATATTAGGATTTGGTATGATTTTTACGGTTTTTTTGGCAATTTTTCAATTTCAATTTAGACTGAGACCTAAAATTTCTGATTTTTATAGAATGCAAATTCCTCTCCTTTTGTATGACGATTCCCTGATTTTTGGGTGTGATTTGATTCACAATTTGACTTAATGTTAACGAATCAATAAATACAAACTCTCAAAATCTGGGGAAACGTCAAAACTGAAAATTTCCTCAATTTCTGACACCCTGCTCTTCTCCTGGCAGAGTAAGAACTGTGTCCACACGATTTCTTTAAAGTGGTATCACATCATAGCATTCATCCTGCAGGCAGATTCTGGTAATATTTTATCCATTCGTGAAGAATTGACTGATCGGCGTGCACCAGCAGCAGCCGAGTCGTAATTTGAAAGGAGATAGCGTACAGAGAACGACTTATGACCTCACTAAAGTCGTTTAGATTATTAGTTTTCCCTCGTGTGTGTGGAAGGAATCGGACACTGCAGAATGGACGTCGATAATCTACCGAAAATTTACCATTTTTTTGCCCAAGAGCAGTGCAGTCCAGAACTCGGCAAAAAATTTCTACGTAATTCTGCACCCCACCGAAAAATGCACTGCAAATTTATCTATATACACTACGCGGAAAAATTTTAGCAAACAAACTGTGCAGAAATCTACAGAGTCTCCTCTGCCGATCAATTTACGAATTTTCCTCTGGTCGATTTTTCTTAAAAATCCGTCCCATCCTTTCCGCACGGTGGTTTACACTCATATCACCAAGAATCACGAAAATCTTGGAAGTCTTCTTTTCAAGAAAATTGCCAACCAACAGAGCCAAAAACCAGTGTCTACTTTACCCTGTTCTGTTCGATTCTCTACCAGAGAATCCAATCGTGACGAATTCCAGTCCAGTTAGTCCGGTATTAATGGGGATCGAAATTGTATGGACTCTTGGCACCGTGCATGTTCTGGGGTCCTGCACAAAGAAAGCTTATTGTTCAGAAAGCACGACCCCACAGAAATTAATGACATCCTTTATGCACCCGGTTTGAATGCAAATGACCAAACTTTCATCATCATCACACACACAAACCAAAAACTAAAATGGGACTAATGAGCTCAATTGTGTCTCAAGCTTTATGCTTTGGATTGGGTCGGATTCATTCAGAATTTAGTTGGTTAGTTTGTGTACGAAGGCATTCATGGAATCGTGGTGGTTGGTGAGAATTATCCAATTCACAGAGAAATTAGGCAGCTGTACGTGGGACAGAGGTTCATGGAACAGCAAAATGTATGTACACAATTTTCGGAAACTTTAAGCGAAAAATTAGAGTGTATTTATGTATGCAAGTACATACAAGAAGTTAGTTGAAGGTCATTAGTGACATTGTGTGATGCTTAACGTTATCAAAAATATTGACCAGAAAGTTAAACCGCAGTTACAGGAAAGATAAGTGAAACTCGTACTGCACTTTTTTCTACTATAGAAAAAATATCTTCATCATTTCCTTAGTTTATTAAGTGTTATCTCCTTCGTCACAAATATGCATGTTCTGCCGGGTTGGGTTTTCTCTTCATTTGACCCTTTCACAAAACTGGAGCTGATTAAGAAGGTTATTATTTTCCCTTGAAACTGAATCGTGGTTTGTTATCGTCCAAAAAAATGTCACAAGTGCAGCCACAAACATACATACATTGACGGGTGCATATAAATATGTAAATATGCATACCAACCTAACCAAGCTACCACGACGACTAAAACCAGAGTCAGACTCATTGAATCCATATTCTTGATGGAGGTTATCCCTCCATCAAATTCATGCTCCGACTCCTCCCCCAACTAAATGCCACTATAAAGTGTGGATGGGGCGGCTTTTATTTCACCCCGAAATCTTAATGTCCCAGACAAAAATACGATTTTAATATTGTTTCAATGATTCTGACTCGGGTTTTACATATTGATTACTACCAACTAAATAACTCAACTAATGACACAAACAACATCCTAATGGTCACAAAGATAGCGATAATAAACAATATGCACATGGACTCATCCATCTCTACGACTGGATCCTTAGTCAAGAACCAGACGTAAAATATGTGACCCTTGAAATATCCATTTATTTATATAGAGCTTTGACCCTCCTCCTCCTCCTGGTCAACCACATCGTCACCCATCTCTAAATACCAGCTCTGACCCCACAATGTCATCCCTATACGACGACATCCTTTCTGTACGGTTCTCCTTCTACCAGTTGGTCTAATCAGCTACCAAAAAGTTGTATGCATGCACTTCTACCATGAGATTGGTGTCATTATTATGAGCTTTTTTAAAAGGGTGGTGTAGTTGCAGTGGTAGAAAAATGTGTGCAGTTTGTTGCGTAGCTCAAGTAACCAGTCAGTACTGAAAGCATACAGCTCCCCATAGTTTAGCTTTTAGTTTAGCGTTCAACTCGTCGCGAGACCAGTCTTCTCTCGCCCTTTGAGGAGGAAAGAGTCACTCGAGACGTATTCCCAACCCCACAACACGTGCCGTGCTAAATCCTTAAAGTTAATCAGAAAAAGTAAAAACTTTTACACATATTTTGCTTAAAATCCGAAAAATCGAGGCTACAAGACTGTGTCAAAAAACATAAAATTTTCTGGACAGTGTCAAAGTTCTTGAACCCAAATTTGAACGGATTTTTATTATTATCATTTTTTTCACGGGGAGGAAATCCCATGTAAACAGAGCGACATATTTTTTCCGTCCACAATGTCATCCCGAATCTTGGCATGTTTTTTTTCTGTCCGTATCAGACTCACACTTGACTGAGCAGCAAGTCGTCGTCGCCACGGTGGGAGTGGAATTCTTCTGATGCGAAGTGGAGTACTGGGCCAAGAAAGAGGTGAAAAAAGTGGAGAATCCATCCTCCATTCGCGTGGGTGATGTGATTTCTGGAGGAAAAATTGCACCCACTTCCTTCCGGGATTAGAAAAGTCGTGCCGTTTTTTGCACGGATTCCATTCCCAGTAGTGCAAAACTGTGCTCACCGACCGAGTGCTCGCCCAGTTGGCAGTAATAATATCGTTGTCGTTGTCATCTCAAATTTCACACAGACTTTGTCGCTTAATAAAGTTGAAGGAATTCTGGATAGAATGCCAATTTAAATAATCCCGTGCAGTGGTGAGAGTGAACTCGGTGAGTGAATGAAAAAAGGATAAGGACAGATTTATATAAGCAGTTACGGGAGGGAGAGGAAGTAAACAAGTGAGTTATGCAGGTAAAAAAATGAAGATTATAACTTTTAATCGTAATTTATTAGCGAGAGGAGAGGTCGTGCAGGGAAGATGGTTTTTGTGGCATTTTAGGCGTTCTTTCGGTCGAAAATTGTCTCATTTTGGTACAATTTTTCTGCCTACTAAACTATTTCACAGAGGGTAAATAAATAAATGTGCAGGATATTTTTTTGCGGGGTTAAGAATTGTGTATAAATTTTCTGCCCAGTTCTGGACCAATTTTTTCGGCAGGTTGATTTTCATACTGGATAAAATTTTCTGCGGGATTAAGAATTATGTAGAAATTTTATGCCCAGTTTTAAAGAAAATGGATCAATTTTTTCTTCAGATTGATTTCCATACAGAATAAAAATTCTCATAATTATCAAAGAAAATGATTCCCATCTTGTCTGCACTGCCCCCGCGAAAAATATGCACGTACATGTTTCTTCCGTACCCATTAGTCATAACCGTAGGTTCACGACCTTTTGCAAAATTTATTGTGACAATTTTTTGTCTAGTTGATACATATCGTCTCATCTCGCCTCTCATCTCTCGTACGGGATCATGTTGGTTGGCATCCGCCGTTGTTTGACTCGTTTTTTCCGGTGTCATCTTCTGGCACGATGACACTTGACACTTATTGTCGCAAAGGAAAGGAATTTGATGTGATTGTTGTTCGTGTCGAGGAGTACCTTATCTCCTCGGTGCATATTTACTTGTTGATTGTGATGGTTAGTTAAACTCTGCTCTTCCTTCCTCCTCTCTTTTTGCTTGGTAACTGTGAATCCATATCCAATCTGACACCACTACAGAGGAAATCTTCTGCCACAAGTTTTAAGTACGTGCATATTTAAAAATTGGGGTTTTAATTCTGCCAAGTTATGTATAATATCTCCTTCCGGTTTGTCTAAAATTGGAGTATGAGTTGCAAACAGGGTGCGAATCTAAGAAGTGATAACAGGTCGGTAATTATTTAGGGTTGCATTTCTAGTACCGGATTTGATGCAATCTTACCGGTGTGGTGGGCGTGTTGATGGGAAGTTTTGATGGTACATATGTACGGCTTCTGTCAGTTACTTATTCACGATTTTCTTCATATCTCCGACAAGAATGACGCCTCAATCCCAATAAACTTCGCACTATGAGAAACGGCATAATCCATAATCCATCAGGATTCACTTCCCCGAGAAAAAAAAAATCTCAAAGTCTTGTCAAAGTATTACTGGAAATCAAACTCGACCAGTCCTGACTTCACCATGAAATCCTATTAGCTGAGGGGGCCGTGGGGGGAGAATGTGACGGATTTTATTGTTTTTTACCCCGTCTCAAGGGTAACATGAAAGTCAAAATATGTCATCATTTATAGACGACCCTCCTCTAAAGTGGATTTGATTGAGTGAAGGAGTCGTGGCCGTTTTGTTGTGATCTGTTCGGATGAAGACCTCATTGTGTTTACGTATTTAATTTCCTCCGTCTTTGTATTCTATCCTCCATCGAAGGAAATCTAACTCTTTGACGATTTTCTTCTTGACGGATTCGGACGAACAAATGCTTCTGCAACGAACTGATTAGCGAATTTACTGTTTGTACTCATCGTGTTGATTTCATTCCATTCTTCATCCTGGTTTCTCCCATTGAGTCATCTGCAGAATGTGATTCACTGAGATTTTTTTATCTTCACCGGTTGCAATCACTTCATGGAGAATCTGTCACACGATGTTGCCAATTTATTTTTAAAATGAAAATGACACTGAAAATGTTGCGTTACTTGCGGCGTATAAATAGTAAATCTTTCGATTTTACTAGGCAAATGTTTATTAAGGATACGTATTATTTTACCAAAATCAAAGTAAATTGGTACAATTTGTACTGCATATTTTCTTAAATTTTGCACATCTGAATTTGCACTCTCAAATTAAATTTGGCAACAATTCTTATCTACTTATCCTTAATCTGTCTTAAATTTGCACACATTACTCTAATTTACAGAGGGACGAAGTACACATGCCCAAGAAATAAATAAAAGACGATAAAAAAGCGACACTATTTTCTATACCAAGAGGACGACGGATGGATGTACGTACGCCATGCAGATAAACATGTAAGACAATTATCACCAATTTTCATTTCATTCAAACTCGAAATGCATCTCTTACGAGCCGAGTAGATTTTAATTATTTGCATTGATTGCTACCTACCTTTCCTCTCAAACGTGGCAGAAAAAACGTGGTGCAGATGTATAAATGCTGCGATTGAATTGAGAAACCCGTCCCTGCATTTTCAATAATTGTATCAAATTTCCAATCGTCCTCGTTGCATTTCCATCCATCCAAACGCATCGTTCATTTATCGCCACATCATTAAAGCTGCGAATGAATGGGTAGCTAACTATTAGAAAACTGGACAGTTTACTTCCTTCGAGAATGACACTAATAATCTCTTTGGTTAGTTAAGTGAGTGAGTGAGGGGGAGCAAGCAGAATTATTATTTTGCAGGGCAGAAATTTGAATCAATTTATTTCCTCTCTCAAGGAAAATGTGATTGCCAAATAGTGCCGAGAGCATTTGAAATCGCGTTACGATAGAGAACAAAAAAATATCTTAATTGTCCAATTGCTAAGTCTGCATAATAATAAATATGCATTTAGATTAGAACTTGTCCGTCGGCGTGGATTTAATTAAAATTAGAAAAAGATGAATTTTTACAATGGTGGGATGATGCAAGGTTGGTGTACAGATTTGTGTAATGAGGGGACATACAGGAGGTAAGGCACGGATTTTAAAGCTGGGGGAGGGTTTCATATTTCCTGATCAAAACACATTTTTTGCAGGGGAGGTGGGAAAAATGGGAAAAAACTGAACAAAAAACACCTTACTTGTCACCTTCTTATTTTACGGAAAATGCATTTTTTAAATTTGCATAACCCTATTTTAAGATCTTTGTACATATGCACTTGTTGGAAGGGATACCAAGATTCCTAAATTTTAAGGGGCATTATTACCATCTCTTCCGACCATTTTTACCGTACGAGGTCATCCTTTGACCCGACCTGCGTGCCACCCTTTCTGCACAGCCCCGTTCAAGTATAAGTCTACTCTCATTTAGATTCTCAGCTAAAAGTAAAACTCTTCTTCTTCTCTTCAAATGTGTAAACTTGACTTTAGGGATTGTTCAGAAGACAAAGGAGTCGTCGTTTCATTGAGGAAATCGTGTCTGACTAAATTATTGTGGTTGTTGTGGTGGGTAAATTAATTACAAATTGAATTGTGCAGCAGGCACGACCACGACCACGACTCTAATTCTTCCATAATGTCGACCTAATCAATAAAATAAAAGAAATTGTTTATACACAATTTGTTGCATTGCTTAAGTAATGAGGAGCAAAAAAATATTATCAAATGACTCATCACACTCTGCTCAATAATTTATGGCGTCATTTCATTTTTTTTCTGCAGCGTTGTGATTTTTTGCGAATTGCATTCATTCAAAGAATGCAAAATGCAAAATGTATTGAGAGGCAGTGCATAAATTATGTAGGACATTACGTGGGACAAAGGGGTCGATTTTTCCGCCCCATAATTCATGCCCGGCCCCAAATGCGGTAGACAGGATGACAAAATAATACGCCACTCGAGCTGCCTACCTACCTACCTACCTTTGTTTGATGAATAGCAAAAATTTGCGAGGTAATTTTAATTCGCAAAAAAAATTTGCGCAATATTTACTCACTCAGTAAAGGTGTAATGTCAATTGATTTCTTACACGAATTACTTACGGTATGTACATACCGACCCGTGAAGATCTTTGACTTTCAAGGAGGGCCTGACATAAAGGATGTGTACGACGTCTCGATATCGTATTGATGGCCAGATAGTGCGAAAATCTTGCCTGTCCGGCCCCCCTGATTTGCAACTGACTGCACCTTTATCGAGACATGAAATTAGAATTAGAATTCACATAATTCAACCAACGGCGTCATTTTGTTGTCAATGATAAAATATGTTACTCTTCTCGTAGATGAATTTAGTCGTGGAAACATTTTTTTGGTTCAAGGTTTCCATCTCCAATTTACTTTTGTGTGTGGAGAGGAATGAGAGTCGTGTAAAGCAATCATCTTGACGTGACTGGGACAGATTAGATCGCAGAGAGGAGTCCAGAAGAATTCTATATTTGATTACGGCCTCCTATGCTTGCTGCTGGATTGCAGTTCAGGTCGGTGAATGCAGGCAGGAATGGTTTATCTCGGAGGGGTTGGACGGACAGGATGTCATCTCATGTATTTTGACCCCTTAACAACGTTCATGCGTGAAAATTGATGGTCCATTTTTCGGAGTGCAGAATCTTTAAGAATTGGACAACAAATTCCTGCATCATGAGGATTTTTATCCTTTATGAAAATGAATCTGCCAAAAAATTGGTCCATTTTTGTACCCAAAATCCTCCAGAAGTGGGCATAATTCTTCATCTCCAGAAAAATATCCTGCACGTTTTGATTTATTTGCCCTCTGTGGAAAAATTTTGGCAGACGAATTGTGCAGAGTCTCGTCTGTAGAATGAAAATCTGCGGAAAATGTGACGATTTTCGTCTGCTCGAGTTTTATAATCCTATCCGCACGGCCCCTCCTTGATCGTCATCGTCATATTAATGTCAACCAGAGAGTCCAGCAGAGAGAAGAGAGAAGAAGACGTCAAGCTGATCCAGTTCCTTAAATTAATCCTTCTTCTCCTGCTCTGTTTGGCTACTTGATAAGGATAACTTTTTTCCCTTTCTTATCGGTCTCCTGCTCCTTATCACGTGTAGGTATTATCATGTGCAGTGAAATGTGATGCGTCTTCTTGTCCATGTATGAAATGCATTCACTCACTCATTCCAGCCAGTTTATGGACGGCTGGAGAAATAATTATGCTCAGTTTGAGAGATGTTTGAGCCCTTTTTTTAAGAGACTCCATCCAACTTTGGAGAGAGGCATCTGATAAGGCGAGAAAGACAATGACAACAGCAACAACAACTTGTTGGACAAAATGTTTGATGAGGAAGAGAGACGTTGAATCTGACTTAGAGAATCGGGTCCAATGTTAAATTGATGAAAAAATGAGGCTAGATTTCATTTTGTTTTACTTTGTTGGCCTTAAATTATGGCATACATGACGTGGTAATAGGATGAAAATTGCTGCAGTTAAACGTCCAGAAAATTTCAGAATAATTCTTCATCCCGTAGAAAAATATACGCACATTTATTTATGTACAATCTATATACGGAAAGTGTAGGAAGATAAATTGTACACAGTCTAATTTGTGTGTTGGTCGATTTTCATATGCATTTTATTACGGTAACTGCCTACCCATTTGGTTGCAGTTTTACACAAATTATACCTAATTACTTACTAGGATACTATTCAAACTTATACTTAAATTCTCCTCTTGGCTCTGAATAATACGCTTGGGATCAAAAATTGTCCCGAAATGTAGATGCAGTACGGTCATTAGGTGCGTGAGGTATTGACGTCCTTCTCCTTCTCCTCAAGGCTGAGCACTTTTCCATCCACTAATTTCCCACAGATTGGATTTTGTTTGTTTGTTTATTTATTTATTTACTTAATCTTTGCTGAGAGAGAGGCTGGCTCGCCTAGCACTTGACATTCGAGGTTGGCATCACCCTCTCGGCCTGGACGGAAGAAAGGCTGCATACATAACTTTTGATTGCCTCCTTTGCCAACTAACCAAGACGAGGAGGACGATACTTACTTACGCAGCTTACGAGAGGATTTCGGGGGATGAAATCACATCCCATTCATCTCTCCGAGACGGACAGATTTCTCATTTTGTCTCCACCGCCGTGAACGTGAAGCAATTAACTCGCCTGGCATATTACCAGGAGTCACTGGATTGAGTGAGAGTGAGCAATTTGGGAAATTTTTGTGATCCCAAGGCAAGGTGCGTGCATGGGATGGATTTTTGACTGATTTTGATCCTTTCTGGGAGTAAAATTTCTGAATTTCAGGATACAAAATTTTTATTTGAACGTGCAAATAACCTCTCGTTTTGAATTTTTTGCACGATTTCCCTTCCCGGGAATTAAGTTGTGTAAAATATATGAATTTTGCGATACAAAATTTGTAATTTGACCATATAATCCCAAATCGTCGCCATTCTGCGCATTTTGCTGGATTTTTGCCTGATTTTACCCCCTCGCCCGATACGATGTGAAGGGTAACTTATTATGATTATGGGGATGGGATGACCCTCTGAAAAAGGCGTCACATGATTTATGCAGGCCCAAATCCAACGTGAAGTTGAAGTCTGCGAGGGGAGGAATAAATAAATGCACCCGATAAGTCAAACGGGGAACATATTGGTGTTCGTAATAGTGGAGAAAGTGCAGTGTTCTGTTTTCTCCAGGCCCAACGAGACTCATTCATCTTCACCAACCAAACTACCATCACATCACGCAGGTCAGTTAGGTGCATGTCAACCCCCCTGCAGGAGGGATGTCGTCGTATCGCGTAGCTTATGTAAACTGCATGAAGAGGGGTAAAAATGGGCTAAAATCCTTCCTGCACGGCCCCTTTAAGAGAGGGATCGTCTTCCACTCAATTCGACGAGTTAGTTTTTTTTCTCTTCTTTACTCTGGAGAAATTTTGTACTTAAACCCACCAAAAGCCGGGTATCTACTGGAACGAAACCGGCATTTTCTATTTCATACTTTCTACGAAATTAAGTACCAAATTTACAATCAAATTGGACAAAAAATTGAAATTGTTTTCCAAATTTCTATTAAACTCTGCATTTTTGTGTAGTACTTTTGTGTAAGTCTGATTTTCGAAAGTAAACTACAAATTTATCATTAAATGGTATGCAATCGAGGGGGCCATCAAAGGCCGGATTTACATCTCGGCATTTTCATTTATTTAATATGCCATCATTTTTACGTGCATTTTCGAAATTAAATTACCAATTTGCCCTAAAATCGGATACAATATTGGGCTGAAATGGGAGGTGGGGGGAGGAGGAGGGGGGATTTACGGAGCTTAAGGAACCCTGCTTCTCGACGCTGGTGGCAGCAGATGTTTCAATATTGAGTGTGTAATAGGATTACGCGA